TGGAATTATGGGTAGACAGCGGTGGCATTTATCCGCCTTAGGCTCTCTGTTATGGTGACAGATGGTGAGACCGATGGTATTTCTGTATTTGGTAGCGCTGTGCAAGAGAAATGACACAAGATAAAATATATCCACTAAAGGATTTGGTCAAGTTTGAAGAAGTAAAGATATTATTTATCATCTTGACACAGGGAGATTAGATTGTACATCATTAGTGGGGTATTTGCAGAATGGTTGACCTTTGAAAGTGGAGTTGAGTGATGATCTTTCCTGGTTTCACAGTCACAGGAATAGTCTTGAAAGGCTTGAAAAATAATGCCTCAGAAGTGATAGATGACATTGAAATAGCTTTCTGTTCTAATTCACACTATGAGATATCTTTGTCAAGACATTGAAATAATTATGCAGTCAACAATTTCAGCATACTTGGAAGATTAACGTTTAATTTGTGAAAATATATTTTTTTTATACAAAACAAGCCGCTACTTTTACATTGAAAAGAAACCCCAGTGAAATAAGTGATTGAACCTGTGGAAAATCTAGACTTGCTTCTTTTTGAGCTCCAGCATTACAGTAAGGGTTGGGCAGAAGGGAAAATAATATGGCCCAGGGACTGTGAGACAGACTACAATTGTTCAGGTACACAGTATGGAAGTGTAGTGAACTATGTCGGGATGATTGTCTCAAACACTGTTTAATACTTAGTAAATGACCTCTTGTTGCAAGATCTATGCTATATTTTGTCATTAATTAAGGACTACCTGTTTCACACACACATTTGCTACAAAAAAAAGTTTTATCAAACATGTCAAAGTAAGTGTGCAAATGGAAGCAGTTTTTTTAATGCGGTTCATTGTTTTGAGTAGCTCAATATAGGCAATCATGAGGTCTATAGTAAGTCAGTTTTTATGATTACGAGAGTTCAAGGTCATGGGTTTGATCCCCGGCCATGTCATACCAAAACTTCTTAAAAGATTGTACTTGTTGTTACCCTGCCTGGCATTGGCATGGGGACAAAACAAGGACTGGTTGGCTTGGTGTCAGTATACTGTGTTGGGTACCATTGGGTATCGGTGGGTTACTATTAAACCAGAAAATGTCCGGACTAGTACAAGCAGCTACATGCACACAAATACAAACACATGTGCATGCATGTCGCTGTGTAAGTACAATAATCTTGAACACGACATTAAACCCCATTTCATTTCACCTTTCTCCTCCTCTAAGCGTAGCCTTTTCACAATATGATGTCCAATGGCACACACACTGTTTCTGGCTGTGACACTCTTTGAGCAGACAGGAAGCAAGGAAAGGAGAGTGAGAACATACCTGTGGACCTGTCATCACATTTGTGCTAATATGTGCAGTGCCTCTGTGCACAGAGATGGTAAACTGTGCCAGTTGACTTGTTTGCTGAAACTTCATCAAGTGACACAATAAAAATTCTGCCATGTTGTTGGTTTGTTGTTTAACGCCGAACTCAGCAATATTCCAGCTATATGATGGACGGTCTGTAAATAATCGAGTCTGGACCAGACAATCCAGTGATTGACATCATGAACATCGATCCATGCAATTGGGATACGATGACGTGCATCAACCAAGTCAGAAAGACTGACCACCCGATCCTGTTAGTCGCCTTTTACGACAAGCATAGTCGCCTTTTCTGCCATGTAATATCCTCAAAAAGATGGTGAGGTGAGGTGAATTAAGGTTTAACGTCACGTCCCAGATTATTGCACTTATATAGCAACCTGTGCGCATGCATGCGGGCGGGCGGGCGGGCGGGTGGGTGGCTGCTTGCTTGTACTAGTCCGGACTGATGCCGATTTATAGTACTAGCCCACTTTGATACCATGCGGGAGTTCAACATGAATACCCCACTCAGACTCTGAGCTGATCAGTCCTTGTTTTAGCCCCTTAATGCCGAGTGCCAGACAAGGTAACAACAAGTACCATCTTTTAACATCTATGATCAAACCCCAACCCTTCAACTCTTCGAGCAGAAACTTTACCACTAGACCTCTGAGGCAGTCCCCCTTAAACCTCTGGGTTAGAATAGGTCTTCAGCAACCCATGCTTAATGTAAGAGGCGAATATGCTTGTCGAGGCAACTAAGGCAAATAAGGGGATCATGTGGTCACTCGCAGACTTAGTTGATGCATGTCTGGTCCAGACTGGATTATTTACAGACCACCGTCATGTAGCTGGAAGATTGCTGAGTGCGGCGTTTAACAACAAACAAACAATGATTTGGGTTTTCTGATGTGTGGATGGCTGAAAATCATGTTGGTTGGTTGGTTTGTTGTTTAACGCCGCACTCAGCAATATTTCAGCTATATGACGGCGGTCTGTAAATAATCGAGTCTGGACCAGACAATCCAGTGATTAATGTCATGAGTATTGATCCACGTAACTGGGATCGATGACATGCATCAACCAAGTCAGCGAGCCTGACCACCCGATCCCGTAAGTCGCCTTTTACGACAACCATAGTCACCTTTTACGGCAAGCATGGGTTGTTGAAGACTTATTCTACCCCGGAATATTCACGGGTCGAAAATCATGTAATAAATGAAGCAATATGTCATAAATGGATCAGTTCACTCAAACATTGTAGTCATACATTGTTTTAAAGATGCTTTATTGAGTAAAAATACTTCATAATGTATTTTAAGAATGATGTCATATGACAAAGAGATTATTAGCCTTGTTAGTTTCCATATTGTAGATATAACATATTAGAAATAAAAATATGTATTATGCTTGATAAAGGCCGATGGATATGGATTATGGTTATGGAAACACACTTGGCAAATAATTTTGATATATTATCCACCTACACAGGGGAACAATGACAGATCCAAGATCATGTTTACAGTGTTTGGCCTTCAGCAGCAAACAGAAGCCTTGTCTGTGCATTGAATAATATTTGATGTTGGGGTATTTTGATTACAGGCTGGAGAAAGTGATAAAAATGGTGTGTCCTTGATGTGAGCCTGAATAATGTCACGCTTGTTCTTTACAGATGCAGTGATTGAGGAGCAGTCAGTATTGTAGGATGTTGGTTTATGAACCAAGCAGCTATGGTGCTTGATGATTGTGGAGAACATTGATCGTGGAAGTGTTGCTTGTATCCAGTGGAGATTTAGGGCTCTGGCTCATTTAGCTTCAAACATAATATATATAATATATAACATAATATAATATATTGACACCAATGATGAAAATACACCTTCATTTTATTCAAGTACACTGTGACCAACTACCCAGACTTGTTAAAACTGAACTTTAATAGGTTTTACTAGCAATAAAAATGCATGAGGGATCGAACCTGATCATGATGTATAGCTTTGACAGGAAATGCAATATGGCTGTCATCTGAGGAGGACATCTATGCTTTATGACATTTGTAGAGTGACCCATGAAGATCCGGTTTGATCTGGTTCCCAGCAACCATGCTTGTCGCAAGAGGCGACTAACAGGATTGAGTGGTCAGACTTGCTGACTTGGTTGATGTATGTCATTGTATCTCAATTGCGCAGATCGATGTTCATGATGTCATTCACTGGATTGTCTCATCCAGATTATTTTCAGACCGCTGTCATATATCTAGAATATTGCTGAGTGACAATTCCAATGATGCCTCGTCAGTGTTTAGATGACAAGAGGTCATATCGGAGGTACCATGTTGATAGGACCGCCTCCGTTGTCTGATGGTAGAGCCCGGGGTTCGATCCCCGGCCACGTCATACCAAAAGACATTAAAAGATGGTACTTGTTGTTACCCTGTCTGGCGCTCGGCATTAAGGGGCTAAAACAAGGACTTGTCGGCTCGGAGTCAATATACTGTGTCTGAGTGGGGTATTCATGTTAAACTGTGACATGGTATCTCAGTGTGCTAGCACTATAAATATGCATCAGCCCGGACTAGTACAAGCAGCCACACACACACACGTGCAAGCACGTTGCTATATAAGTGCAATAATCTTGGACGCGACGTTAAACCCCATTTCACCTCACCATGTCGATAGTCTTTGGATGGATGTTTTACATCATGATGTAAATAACACCAACAACAAACATTCCTATGATCAGAAGAAGTCTCTCGTCCATTCATCATTGTACATTTCCAACTATGTCATGAGCATGTGTTTATGAATTACTATCAAATAGTGATGATGCCAGGTGTTTGCGAAAAATGGGAGCGTATCCTGCCCTACTGGTGGCATCCATCACAAACACATGCAAAGGCAACTCAGTTGTTCACCTGACAAAACATGGGAACATATGCTATTAGTCAAAATAAGGAATTGCATTGGACATAAATTTTGTCACTGATGCATCAGATTTGGGAATGTCCTCCATGGTCTACAATAACAAGTTTTTGAAAAACGTTCCGGGCCTTGTAACCTTAATGAAACAACTTATGAGCAAGAGTGGTATGAGGCTCTTAGAACTCTTGCAACAGCAACGGACACGCCGTTAAGTATGGGGGTGGTGGAAGCCGATGAGATTGGTCTTTGGACTGTATCAAATTTTGCTGACAACACCCCACACCCACACCCACCTCCCTTTAATGTAACATTTTTTCGTGACCTTCCGTGTTCACATTTATGACTATCAGTTTTTCATGGCCTCCCCTCCTCCCAACCCTATAGTTGTGATACCTATTGGTAGTGCTCCCCATCTCACTGGTCCCCCTCCCCCCGACCCTATAGTTGTGATACCTATTGGTAGTGCTCCCCATCTCACCGGTCCCCCTCCCCCCGACCCTATAGTTGTGATACCTATTGGTAGTGCTCCCCATCTCACTGGTCCCCCTCCCCCCGACCCTATAGTTGTGATACCTATTGGTAGTGCCCCCCATCTCACTGGTCCCCTATGATAAGTGACCTGTTCCTAACCACCATGAGTATACTGACTGCAACCATTGAATCACTGTGATCTAAGAGAAACAATAATGTTCTCATATTGTTATTGTATTTTCCTTGTTCCAGTTGGTGGGAGGAGAGTTTGACATTGAGGTGAACTTTGTGATCCAGGAAGCGCAGAACATCCTCCACATGCTGCAGCTGCTGAAGACATGTCCCATCACACTGCAGGTGAGTCGTGGGAGCAGGAAGAGGGATCCTAGTATACTGGTAGTCTCAAAGTATGCACCCTCCATTGTATACCATCGTCTGTGCCCAGGGGGGCACAGGTGGCCCAGTCGTCCAAGGCGCCATGATTCGCTGTGCAGAGTTGTGTCCCTTGGGCACGCCAGAAACCTATGATTGTGGGTTCAAATCCCAGTTCACCCCGATTATGTTTCTAGGCTTGTCAACACCATACCCGTGCTCGTGGGTTTCACTGAAGTGGTAAATTTCTTAATCTCATTAAAATCAGATCTTAGTTTTCGCTACTGCTAAACAAAGATCTGAGGACATCCTATTACTGGTCACGTTAGAACAACCTTCGCGAATTGTGACCCAACCAATGAAATGACTGAGAAGAAATCAACATTAGCCAATCAGAAAGCAGCTTTTTTGAGCTTTACGACACTAGTTTCAAACTGGCGACTACGCTTCGAAACACCCGGAATACCCCATGTTAAATATTTCGTGGTAGCATGATTAGAAAACACATTCCGACTGTCACTTTCATGATCTGGTAAGAGACGCTCTGATTGGTTGGATGAAAGTTTGTTTTGACGTGACCCGTAATGGGATGTCCTCAGACCCTTGTTTAGCGATAGCGAGAACTAAGATCTGATTTTAATGAGATTGTAAATTTCTGAGACCTGCATCACTTCTGGCTTTCCTCCCACATTAAGCTGACATGCCGCGATATAACTGGAATACTGTTAAAAGCGGTGTTAAACCTAACTCACTCACTTGTCTGTGCCCAAAGCTTTTGAGTGAACTTGCAATTTGGCACTTTCAGTAGATTTTGGGGTGTTATTATGGATTATTATTAACTGCTTACTTGTCCAAACAGAATGTCACTAGGCTCAAGTTATTGACACATCATCTGCTCACCAGGATGTTTCCCCCTTTGCCAGAGTTTACCCTAGGGACTTAACAGAATGCAGCCCTCTTTGTCATTTTCAACCCTGTATGTTATGTAATGGAGAAATCACTCGAATCTGTTGATTCTGGAAGTAGAGGCAACCTATAGCTGCGGCAGTTTTACTTGCACAAAATGCACGTTGTGAATGGCCAGTGAACTCCTGGCTTAGAATTCATAATGATATCATAATGGTTAATGTCTATTTCTGTTCTGAAACCCAACTAAAATCTTCACCTGGAAGTACTTGGAAAGATTATGTGGGATGAATGATAAATCTCAAGTCAAAAGCACCTAATCTTGAATTCAGAATTCAATTCAAAGGAAACTTTTCTTTATTGCTAAAAATCCAATTTTATCTGCCGTTGATTCTTGTATTTGGTGCATTATACTGTCGTAAGGAAAATGGGACCTCCTTTAACATCAATTGCCTCCTGAAAATACAGAAGAATACATGAACTGTCCATGGGATTAACATTGAGATTATTTCATGATTTTGAGATGGTGTCATGGCTCCATGGATTCCATTTGGCTCCAATCACAACCAAATCTTCCGTCTCCTTTAAAAGTAACTTAGGGAGCAATTAGGCTCCTTGGAAAATTACTTTGGGAGCAATTTGTCTGTTGGAAAATTATGTTCACTTTGAGGGTTGCTGCAAAAGGATTTGTGCACCCTAACAGGTCACGCTGGTGCCATTCATCTTCTAACCAGACGTGGTATAAGCCAGGCAGACCTTCTGTGGCATATTACTAGGAACATGGCTTTTTATGTGCAAGTTGTGCCCGAGAGGTAATTAAATAAAGTGAGGGAAATAAAGATGAAGGAGAATGATGGGATTGATAACCAATAACTAGATCGGCATACGGAGAGCCATCTTCAATTGTGTGGGCATTTTAGACAAATTCATCTATGCAAGCAGAGCTTGGGTCCACACTCTCCTGTCATGGCCACTGCCTGAATTTGTGCAGATGCTTGGTCCACAAATACCCACTGGACAATCCATGTTGAATTTATGGTGAAAATGTGGTTCCGTTTTTTCCTGTGTCTGCATTGAGCTTGTGATTGAAAAAGCATGTTTATGTCTGTGCTGTCCTTTGATGTTGGTAAAAGTCCAGCTTTGTCCTTTGAGCAAAATTGCAGTATTGAAAGTGGAAAATTGGTCTGATGACTGATCATGTGCTTCATTTCATGTGTGTGTGTGTGAGGGTACCCTCATCAGTACTTGTATACATGAAGGATGAAGGAATGGGAGATGCAGAGTCAGCGGATTTCAACAATTTGTCAATTTCTTTAAAAATCTCTGTGTTAAAAGGTATATGCCTGTAGATTAGCAATTAAGCTACTTAAAGAATCCATTAATGGAACTTACTTTAAATCAGTGGTTTAGAGAATCCTAAAATGAAGAAGGTTACATTAAAGCATCCTCTTAAAAAAGTAACACCTGAATACAATGCATAATTTACGTGACGGTAGGATTCACTTGAGTTGGTTGGTTGGTTTGTTGTTTAACGCCACACTAAGCAATATTCCAGCTATATGACGGCGGTCTGTAAATAATCAAGTCTGGACCAGACAATCCAGTAATTGACATCATGAGCATCGATCCACGCAATTGGGATCGATGACATGCATCAACCAAGTCAGCGAGCCTGACCACCCGATCCTGTTAGTCACCTTTTACGACAAGCATAGTCACCTTTTACGGCAAGCATGGGTTGCTGAAGACCTATTCTATCCCGGAATCTTCACGGGTTGATTCACTTGAGAAAATGTTTACAAGAATTGTTGCATTCGTTACTTCTGTATACTGATTGTAGGGCAATTGCCTTGCATTTTGTTAGCTTCTTCACTGCTGATCTGGAGTAGCCTAGAGGATAAAGCTTTTGCTCATCACACTGATGATCTGCGTTTTAATTCTTAACATGGGTGCAATGTGTGGAGCCCATGTTCCCTGGCCATTTCTGCCATGGTATTGCTGGGATATTGCTAAAAGCATTGTAAAACTGCACAATCACTCACTCACTCATTTACTCATTTACTCACTCATTTACACACTCTCTCACTCTCGCACTCACTCACTCTGGCGTTCCTTTGCCATGATGTGGCTGGAATATTGCTAAAGCTTTGAAACATACTCTCACTCACTCACTCACTCACTCACTCAATGCTTCTTGCTATCCCTTAGTTGAGCAAGAATCCGCTGGTCAAAAGTTTCAATCTTATCATGGCTTATCAGGACAGTACCGTGCTCATGGGTTTCACCAGAGTAATACATGTCTCAGATTTTCATCACTTTGGTCTTTCCTACAAGAACAGAAATACTTTTCAAAGCAGAGTTTAAACCAACTGGTCTGTCAGTAATGATAATGGGTTATAATGGGTTGTAACGAGAAATGCACAACAGACAGCTGTCATTGTTCCTCTGGGCACCGGCTCCATTACAGGTGTAGAGATCAATAGATTCCATCAATGCCCAACCATTGATACATGTCAGCAACATAACAGGATGTGTCATAAGTATGGATGTGAATATGAACATACTTTGAAAAGAACCCACATGGATTCCAGGTTAGAGTTGGTCCCTACCAACCTTCTCTGGATGTAAGAGACTCAATGACTCATATTGCAGGAATATTGCAGGAATATTCCTGCAATATTGATGAGTGTGACATTAAACACGCATTCTCACACCTCATCATATTCTGGGTAGGGGAAAGAGGATAATCAAGTATTTTCGGTACTGGAAACAGTACAAACATTTTTTAAATTGGTGCTGTTCCTGCTTTGAAAACTGATTCCAACCCATGATCCGATGTTATTTTTTAATTACTTGGTTTGCAGATGGACACTGCCACAAAATTTGCAAATTTGAGATTATTAAACAAAAAGAAAAAACACAACTTCAAAGTAGGCCAATGTAGAAGGAAGAGTATGGTTTCACGTGTTATTCACTCAACATGTTTCCTTCATTTCAGCTTTTCCCCTCTACTTTTGTACTGACCATTCTTTTATGAGGTCACACCACCAACTTTGAAAAAAGATCAATAAAACATGTGATCCATAATGAATGCCTTGTTTTGCTGAATGTCAAAAAGCCACATTTACTCATTTAGCTGACAATGTAGTAGAAGCATTGTCTATTTGGGTGTGATCTATAATGACCTCTTGCATTGTCATTAGGTGTTGTCAGAGCATGGAAACTGCTTTGAAATTAACTCTATTTCTTTCTGTGACACTCATTATCATTCTTGTTTGTAAATCTCATGCGTGAGTGACATCCTGTACGTGAAGCATGGCGCTGCCTCGGTGAACACCAAGTGATCATGGGACTTGATGGATGTCATTGCTCCAATGTCAAAGCGTGACAATTGATTTGTTATTGATAACCAGCACAGGTCACTCAATGGATTGATTTTGCTTGGAATAATTGGCGCTTATTAACATTGATTGAATAGGAAGACAAGTACCACATGGTTGGTGTCAGAGATTTACAATGAAGATCTTATGGCCAAAATGGCTGCCAGATTGTGGAGGCATGTACCACATGTTTGGTGTAGGGGTTTAATACAGTGGAGATCTTATGGCCACAATGGCTGCCAGATCGTTGAGGCAAGTAAGCAATCCTTTGTGTGGGAGTTTAATACAGTGGAGATCTTATGGCCACAATGGCTGCCAGATCCTTGAGGCAAGTACGCAATCCTTTGTGTGGGAATCTACTTCAATGGTGATCTGATTTGTGCCAATGGTCATGTCAGGACCCAGATAATGACCCTGTTAAACTCACTCACTACACAACAGTTTAAATCCTTACAAAATGTCCTACAGATGTTTATAATGATATTACAATACACAATTGCAGATGCAAAATAGAATAATACAGTTCAATAATCACTGTGAAGGTAGATCTGTCAACAGCCTGGTGAATATAAATGAATATTTGAGTGTAATCAGATATGAAACAAGAAGAAAAACTCATGTTGTTTCATGTGGATGATAATGATTATTGTGGACCTGATATGTCCTTTAGTTGACGGTACCAAGTCACCATCAGGCCGA